TTCAGTTGAGAAAAAAAGTTGTAGTTTTTGTTAAAAAATAAAAACCTTTGGAGCTCATTTCTCCAATCATCACCATTTTAATTCTCCTTCCCCATGCAAGCACCTCAAACCACCTTAAACCACCTCAAACCACCTTAGTCCCTAATGCCACAGAATGACCTTTTTTACTATTTTATTGTAATTTCTTGGACACAAGATTACAGAGAAAATTACTTACCAATTAAACAATTTCTAGTTAAGAGGTTTTTTTGTTTTGTTGTTTTTTGTTTGGGGATTTTTTTGTTTTTAAATTGGTGGGCTAGTCTGTAGTTGGTCCCTGGTAATACAGAAAAATTTTAAAAAGATACATAAATATTTGCAATGAAAAAGTTGCTGATTTTACAAAATTCTGTCAGATAATCTCCAGCACTGTAACATCTTGGCACGCACATAGATTAGGCACAGGGTATACTTGTTTCCCACCATCCCCTACCTTTCTAAGTCAGCAGAGTGAAGCTAGCTGAATCAGGATGCCCTGATGGCATTCAAACCCCAGGCTGAGAAAGACTGCAAATCTGTGCAGATGACTTTAGGCAGAAACTCCATCAAATAGGATAATACTCCAACTTGAAAACCTATAGGTTTGAAAAGAATAAGAACTGTAATGTGAACAAATACATGCACATCCATATTTTTTACAGCACTGTTAACAATAACAAAGGGATAGAAGAAACAACTCAACTGCCCATCAATCAATTGATAGGAAAATTATAGTACATTTATACAATAGAATACCATGCAACATTGGGAAACAATGAAGAATTCATGAAACACTGTACAACATGGATGAATCTAGAGGACATGATGCTACATTAAATAAATCAGTCACAAAAGGGAAAGTATTGTATAAGACCAGTAGTATTAAAAGCTATAAAAGGGCTTGCACAAGGATAGAATCAATCTTATATGGTTACCAGGGAGAAGTAGTGAAGGAGAGGGGGGTAGAAAATTAATAACGATAATAAACATTATTATGGAAAGACTGGATTATCACACATAGTGGATATTGTATTCCTTGGAGAAGGACATTGTGCTTGGAAAGGCTGAGAGTCGGTGAAAGAGAGAAAGATCTTCAAACAAATGGATTGACTGCAGCAATAGGCTCAAGTACGTCAGAGATTATGAATGGTGCAGCATCAGACAGGGTTCAGATCTATTATTCATATGGTCACTATGAGTCTTAGCTGATTCAAAGGCACTTAACAAAAAGAACAATTCACTGACAAATAAACCATAATAGTATATGCATTACAATCACTTAACTGTGTACATATTTACTTTTCCACACATTGTTAGAAACAATAAACATTTCCATATTTCTCTTTTTCAGCTAGATATAGCAGACAGTTTCCTTTTCCATAAATGTTTCTGTTATTCATTAAGAAATCAGTTCTTCACAGGAGTCCACAATTAAGGTTGCATAGTGGAATGTACTTGGGGCAGTGGGAGGGGTGCAGGGGGATTGTGTACCAGGGAAGAAGTGTTTCTTTTACTTTTGAAAGAGAGGAGCGAACTGCGGGGGGGAGAGGG